AGTCACTTAGTCTCTCTGCACTGCAGTCTCCATCTACAACAAAGTCATGTCATGACAGCACCGCAGAGTGGGAGCCCAGAGCAACCAGTGTGGTCAGACTAGCCGATCGCTAGGGTCCGTTCTGGCCTTACACTCGATGCATCTGTAAAAGGAGCATAAAAGCACTGCCCTCATTCACAGAGATTTGGTGAGGAGAAGTACACTGAAGATTGCGAGACACGCAGATGCTGCTTATTTGGGGCCATATAAGTACCCAAAACAGATGGATTGTAAGAGGTCCTTTCTGGCCTTAAAATCAATGAATCAGATCAAAGGGAACCATTCTGTCTTTGAAACATGTAGCTGAATGAGTTTGGGATAAATCCATGTGTTTACTAGTCTGTGGTGAGTTCACTGGTGAGATTAAATCATTTCTTTCACTAGTGTCTGCCCAACAAGGATCATCTAGAATAAAGAGCCACAAACATTGCTGTAAACTAAAGCACGGGCAAAGGCGAATTGGACTCATAGTATAAATAGGTCATTCCCATCCCTAATTCTTGTGGTTCAGTGATTCTATAAATGCTGCTGCTCTGTGTCATTTGAACATACGAATGGCCACACTGGGTCAGACCAATGGTCCATCTAGCTAGAATCCTGTCTTCTGACAGTGGCTGGTGCCAGACGCTTCAGAGGGAATGAACAGAACAGGGCAATTTAGACCCATCCTCTGTCATCTAGCTTCTTCATTTTATATAGTTCCCTTTTTGAAGTTAAATGCTACTGTGGTGAGTTTCTTTGGTATTCCCCCAGCCCCCCCGAGATGTTAAATTTAATTACGTCCTGGTCACTAGTACTGAGTGGTTCAGCTGTATCACCTCTTGGACCAGATCCTGTGCTCCACTTAGGACTAAATCAAGAATTGTCCCTACCCTTGTGTGTTCCAGGCCTCGCTGCTCCAAGGAGCAGTCATTTATGGTGTCTAGAAATTTTATCTCTGCATCCCGTCCTCAGGTGACATGTACCCAGTCAATATGGGGATAGTTGAAATCTCCCAACATTGTGTTTTCTGCCTTGGTGGCCTCTCTAATCTCCCCAAGCATTTCACAATCACGGTCACCATCCTGGTCAGGTGGTTGGTAGGATAGTCCTGCTACTATACACCGATTGTTCAGGCATGAAATTTCCATCCATTGGGGTTCTGTGGTACAATTGGAGTCATCAGTATGCTTCCTTTCACATATAGCGCCACTCCCCAACAAGTGCAACCTACTCTGTCATTCCCCTATAGTTGGTACCCTAGTATTATCGTCCCCATTGATTAGCCTCATTCCACCAAGTTTACATAATGCCTTTTATATCAGTATCTTCATTTCATGCCAGGCACTCTAGTTCATCCATCTTAGTATTTAGACTTCTAGTGTTTGTATATAAGCACTTGTACATGTTGTCAATGTTCAGCCGCTTGCCTTTGTGTGTTATACTTAAATGGGACTTTTACATTTGATTGTTCCTCACTAGTTCCTATCAGTTCTTTACCAACTTCTTTCTTTGAGTCAGTAAAGGCAACTGTTAATTGGATTAACAACATTACAGTTTTATTTTCTCCTGTGCTGGAGGTTTTCTTGCTCAGCACCATGATCCCTCTGCTGTTCAGCACGGCGAATCCCAGTTGAAATCTCATGTTTGATTAAGAGACAAAATTCCCCTGCCACTGTGCCCACTTCTGGCGCAGATCTGTTAGGAAGCAGGTTGCATCTCAAAGGGTTTTTGCCTGGGAGGTGGGCGTTATCAGTAAACACAGTAACAACTGCCCAGGATGTTCTGGGGCAGATGGAGAGGGGTGAAACGGAACCTGAATCTCATCTGTGTCTTTGAAGGGAAGGCTACTGAGATATCCATGGAAAACTCTCTGGGTAACTCATCTGTGCTGTTTGATGGCTTCTGGCAGTCCCGTGGTTACATGAATGTTGTAGTGATGTCCTACTGGCGCTTTATTCCTACATCCAATTTTACACTGATTACCCCTGGGCATCATTCCATTAACTTCAATGGAGTTACTCCCCACTCACGCTAGTATAAGTGGGTGGAAAACCAGACCCATTTGCATCCTGTTGGATTCAGATACCAACTGGAGGTTCCCAGCTCATGCCTGTCTCTGTCATAGGCTAAATGGAAATGTCCGATGGGATCCTCTACAAACTTTGGAGCATCTCAGATCCAGGCTTCCAGGCACAGAGTCTCTCCAGCTCTAACCCGAGTGCTCTGGGATGTGAGCCTAGAGGGCCACAAGATCTCCCCTGAAAAGCAGACCACACATTCCAGTCCTATGGTCCCCTCTGCATATGGAGTGAAGCCACCTGACCCCCATGGAAGATGTTCCAGGAGGGCCCCACAGGGTGGCCTGCGGGGATGGGAGTCAAAGATGGGATGGGATGGGAGACCCAGGCTGCCACCCATGGATCCCAACCCCTCCCAGTGCTCGGGGGGGAGGCAGCTGATTATAAGTTAATGAAGCTGATTTAATATACTCTTCCCCTTCCATTCCATGGCTCTCCTCCTTTAGAGGGCTCATTGGACAGCTGTCTCATGTACCCCATGTGCTAGCTGTGAGTGGACTCCATGTTTCTAAAACTAAACTGGCTCTCTAGTAAAACAGCCCATTGCAGAGGTGCTGCAACTGCAGCTAGCATTCCAGCCATGTGCACACAGACTGGCTTCCTGGGGCCCCCTCCAAACTCTTCCCTCCTGCAACCTGTGCTCCTTCCTCCGAGTTCATTGCAGGTTGTTACAACACAGAGAGCCATGGAAGTATATCTCCTGAAGGCAGCATGCTCTCCAGGGGTCAACAAAGCCAACCAATAGGTACAGAGACAAGGGGGCTCCAGGAAGATGCCTCTTGCCACCGGCAGACCCCCCTCAGATCCCTGGATTAGGATCTGTACCCTGGCTTCCTCCCTAGAAAAGCCTGTCTGCATCTCTCTCCCCAGATAGACACTGCGTAGGAAACTCTGAGTGGTGCAGCTCTCTGAATTCCCTTTCCTCTAGGTAGGTTATTCCCCCATTAGGGAAGAGCCCCTCTGCCTTTATCCCCCCTCCTCTTTCCCTAAGCTGCCTCCCTGCTCCCAGACTTTCTCCACGAGAAGAAAGTTTTATGGATGGAGAGAGGAAACTCAATTATTTCCCTCTCAATGTGTCTCCCTATAATTGGTGTCTTTCATGTCAAGATGATCTCAATTTGTATTATGGGCTCCATGCACACAGCACTTTCTCTTTGGTCTATAAAGACATTGTCAAGTGCATAAATCATAGTGCACATTAAATCACACTAGCCTTTTACTTATTAATTTCCCCAGTTTTTTCCCCTCCACTGGGTGCTTCTTCCCTCCCTCTTTCTCTCCTATGCTCACTGCCTCTTCTCTTTCCCTCCCTTCCCCCCTCTCTCCACCCCGACTGATTGCCCATTTTCCGAAAGTAGTGACCAGTGGGTCAGTTTCCCTCGCCATTGTCCGGGACTCTAGCTGTTTCCCTACACCCCTTGCAGTTGATCACATCAGACCCTTCTCCCAGAGCAATAGGAAGGAGTTTTCACTCCAGCTGTCCTGACTCTCCAAGGCCCCACAGTTGAATCGACAGGTGTCTTTACGTTGATTTCAGTGGGCTTTGGATCAGCCCCCACTGATGTTCAATCAGGGCTTCCTCCAGTGGCTAGCCACACAGACTGCAACAACTTACTCCCCTTAAAGCCAGTCTTGTACAGCTGAAGTAGTAGAGGCCTGTGATTTGGCTGTTGAAGCTCCTGGGCTCAGTCCCAGCTAATATGTCAGTATATAGACGTGGCCAAGGTTACTCACAACTCCAAAACCAGAGAATGGCGAATGACAGAGTAAACCCCCATGGCCAAATTCTGCTGCTAGTTTTGCTGGTTCAAATCCCTTGACTTCACTGGCCTTGCATGGGCATAAAAGTGGGCAGATATTGTCCTCTAGGGTCTAGAGGCACTGAGCTGCAAGACAGACCTCTCTTCTGTAGAATGAGAGTGTGATAATAACTGTAGTCTCTTTATGTCTAAGTACATTTCCCCCTCGAGACAACAATGCGGCAGGATCCTCTAGGCCCTCCATCATGTTAACCTACTTGTCAGCCACTTTGATAGCTTTTTAATACTAAATATGTTTGCGGAGCAATTAGAATAAATCTAGACAGTTATGAAATACTTTCCGAAAGCGGGGGAATGGGGCCAACTTTGCTGTTCAACCGAGATTAACCAAACATAATGGGGGAGGGAATCAGCCCGGCTGGACTGCAGGGTAAAAGGAGACCAGGGCGGGTTAGAGAAAAGGGCTATGGAGGTCCTAAATATATAACGACTCAAGTCGCTGGTGGGTGGAGTGACAAGAATGGGGAGCACTAGCCATATAAGATACACACAAAGGGTCATGCTGTATATCCCTCTTACAAGGTCAGATGATTTAGCACTAACCTGTTTGATGCTAGCATCATCTCTCTCTCTGTATGCCACAGTCTGTGCAAGAGAGGAAGGAAGTGGCCGTGGCCGTTCTTTGCAGCAGAGCCTTTAGGAGGAATTCTGGCTATCTCAGAAATCGTCCTTTGTTCTCCCTGGGAGCAAAAAACTACAATAACAGTCCTACTACTATCACAGCATGTTCTTCTCTGGGCCGGCCTGGGGACCTCTGCTGGCCAGGTGCAGGGTGTGCAGAGCTCACCTCAGCCCCCCCTCGGGCCTCCACCGGCACTGCACCCCTCAACCACATGGTTGTTGGCCCCTGGGCGGGAAATAAGGGAGCGAGGGTTCCTTGCTCCGTCTCCCCACCCCACCCCTATTACTTCCTTCTCTTCACTGTTCTGCATTCTTGTTGCCTGCTCTTAAATAGCTGCCGTGTTCTGCACCTGCAGAAAACCCTGCTGCTAAAAGGTGCACGCTAAAAACCCAACAGCACAATGAGGGGATCTGTGGGCTCCGTTGTTAATTGCGCTTCTCTCTTTGTTCTTCCTTGCAGATGAACAGGCCGATCCAGGTGAAGCCAGCGGACAGCGAAAGCCGAGGAGGTAGTTGACTACATTGCTCTCAGCCACTGCGCTAAGTTTAATTGTTGTCTCTGGCTTCTCTCAGGCAATGCGCTGATCAATTAGCAGCGTAATCACTGCCAAAGAAATTCCCTCTGCAGCAAAGATTCTCTTTATTAAATCTCCTTTCCTTCGTCTCACTTTCCTCATATTCAATTATTATTTGATTTTAAAAGGCAGGCAGGTGCCAGCGATTGCCTGGGAAACAAATAACTGCCTTGTTAAGAAATGAAGCATCAGGCACTGACTTATCAAAGTTTAACGGCATTGACAGCACCTTGTCTCTTGCAGACCATGTGCCGCCAGTAGGCCAAACTGCAGTGATGGTTCAGTTGGGTTAGAACTCGGGGGGTGTTTTACTGTGTCTCCAGCCCTCATGTTTCACTGTGGTGACTAAACGTGGATTGAAGCGTCTCTGCCTTTGGAGAAAGCAAACTTGCTCTAGGATATTTCCTGCACCTGTACCCGTATAGCGCGATGAACATACCATATTAACTAGATTCTCATCTCAGCAACACGGAGTTACTCTGGATTTGCACACAACTGAGATCAGAATCTGCACCCCGCACCCCTGTATCCACGTGCCTAGAGAGACAGATGTTAAAGCCCCTTATTTAGACATCACTCAATGGGTCACCCCAAGTGGGCTGCCTCCATTAGGTGGTTTTCAAACAAAATTGGAAAGCATGGAGATGCTTCACCGGGCTTCTCTGAAACAGGACGTTGTCTGTCAGATGTGGTCCCAGCACAGATTTCATTGTGTACAGAAGGCTTATGTAGGCCAAGGACTCCGTTATGCAGTATTATTTATTCATCAGATTCTATGGTGTGGCTACATCTCTATGTTTCTATCTACATGGTGGTTTCTTCGAACTCCAGTGAAATCCCTTCCTATTCCTTTGATTGAAATAAGAGGTTGGTATTGTTGATCACACTACCAATAAGGGTGTCAAGGACAGCTTGCATAGTGCATGCTAGTGATTATAGAATCAGTATCAGTCTCTGAATAGGCCAGAGTTTTCTGTTAATAATAATCTGGTTCTTCTCTGGGTAAAAACTCTTTGGGCCCTTTTTCATTAATGTCAATTGCATCTTTCTATGGGCAACAGTTGAATTATCAACAACAGTTGTCTTGAGTGAATGAAGCAAATCACAATAAAAGAACAGAAGTTATATTCTTTTTAGTCAAAAGATTGGGAGATCCAGTGGTTTGATCAAATATAACCAGAGGCTGAAATTCACCGGTGTCTGGATGCAATTGGAAGGTATAGATGAAGATCTGGCATTATGAAAGGGTGGAACTGGTGTGTTGACAGAGATTCCATAAGGTTGATTATTAGGTGTAATTGTGTAGGATGGGGTCTCTGGAATAGCTCCTCTACTATGTAATCAAATTCAGGGATCAACCTTGCACTATTAGAGTCTGAGGGGCTACTCATATGAACAAAGCAAGATTTGGGAATGGCATGTTCCAATGGTATTGATTAGGAATGATCGTGTCACGTTTCCTTCATTCAGCAAAGGCAAATTTAAAAACCATGGCTCAGATCCTCAGCTAGTGTAGAACAATGGAATTCCATGGTTTTCAATGGAGACATGTCGATTTATGCCCCAGCTGACGATCTGGGCCCATATCTCCGTCTGAATCGGCTTGCCCAGGGCACTTGTCAAATGATGACCCCCTAGGTCAGCTGCCTTGCAGACAGCTGAGGCCAGATGCACATTCCGGCAGAGCCCATGATGACAGCATGTATGAAGGGGTGGTCTTTTGTCTGCTTAATTAGACACACCAAAAAATAATAATTAGGCCAGCCAGTTTGCTTAGTGCCTCCAAATCACTCCCTTTTATGCAGATCGCTAATAGCAGACACGTGCCTGGCTTTCTAGAATGGGTTTTAAGCCTCTCTTGCCAGCAGCTGCTTTCAGGAAGGTGGGTTTGAACTGCAAAGCGCATCGGTGGCTGTTTAAATCATCTTTACCCATCACACCGACAATCGCCTCCCCACTGTATTTTAGCTAATTATCTCCCCTCTCCCACCCACTATCCTTGTTTATTGCGTCTCTCTGCCAGGATCATAAGACGGGGCCCAAGCGTTTGGCATTGAAATGAAAGCCACGTTGTCCCAATTCCCCACTGACGAGCTGCTTCTGGGCTAGGGAAGTTGCAGGACAGCATGACTCAAGGGCAACCATGGGAAAAAAGAACAATTGGCACCCAGGGGAGGCATTGTGTGAAAACTTACCCTCCTCATGAGCCCACTGGTTAAAGCAGGCACAGCAAGCAGAATGCTAAAGAGGAGTCTGTGTATCTTAGGAGCACATCAAAAGACATCATTAGGGCTGCAAGATAAAGGTCAACTTCAACAACAAAGGAACTTAAGTTGTAGCTATTATACACAGCTTGGTGTGTCCTGTTTGAGGAGGAGAGGGACTGGCTCTAACCCACAGCTGTATAGCAAAAGCCCCTGGCTTTCCCAAAGTCCACCAGATACATGACACTCCTTTTTCCCCCGCCTCTGGGGAAGTGTTTGTGGCCCTGTCACAGCATTACAGGAAGATCCAAGTGCTGTTTTACCAGGTAGTTGAAGGTGATCCCTGTGAAATGAGGTCTTGTCCTCTGTAGTGATGGACACATGAGTTCAGATCAAATAAGAAGCCCCAGATTTCCCCCAAACCTTCACCCCAAAATTGAAACAAATCTGAACCCAGAATCTACTCTGAGAGAGGAAGAAGTCTGGTTCGTATCGTACTGCATCGGTTTTGCATTTTTCACTCCAACCTCTGTGCCTCTTTGTTTTGTTTTCCTTTATTTGGATATGTTCAAAAACACTCCCATTAAAATATTTTGGTGTCTGGTTTGGAAGATGACAGCACTTTTCAGTATTATTTGTTATTTTCATTAGCCTAAGTGCCCATCGAATTAGAAATATATCATTTTTTAAAATTCTATTTTTCTTGGGAAAGCAATGGTTTAAATTAGAGGGGGAAAGTGTTTTGCAAATTTCACAAGAGTTTTAAGAAATTCCTGACATTCAGAATTTAATAGAGAGTGGAACCCTTTCTATAGAGTTCTTAATGAGAGGTCAAATAACTTATTGAAAGGTTATCATTTTTATTACATTCTCTATCAGGTTTTATCCAGGGTAAAATCAATAGATCTCTGTAGGAAATTAGTTGGGCTAGACATTATTCTAAAAACTTAGCACAAAACTCTGGTTTCATAGAAGTCAATTGCAAAACTCACCTTTACAGCCGTGATTTTATGATTTCACCCCTATAGTAGAGATTGTAATAGGAGATCATCACCATAGCTTAAGTAATTCTCCAGAGAAAAGGTATAATTACTTGCTAAGTTCTGTCATTGTGAAAACATCCCTATTGAAGTGTTAGCATTTTCTATTCATGTCTATGGGACTTTTCTGTTAAGACAGGAGATTGTGGCTCCTAACCCCATGGTCAAGCCTAAAGAAAAGTGGCAAAGTTAACCAGAGTTTTCCAAATCTCAGAAAAGGTCTTAGGTTTGGTAAGTGATTTGGGGCAAACGTTTTGAATCAGTTCTTACTTTATCCTGACCATCCCACCCCATCTCTAGCACTGACTAGACACTTTGGCTGCAGCACTTGCTGTTAACCTGGAATAAACCCAGCCTCTAGATTCCCCTGGCTTGTATTGGGCAAAAGATTTTTAAACCCAAAGGACTCTTCTTCCACTCCAGTTGCTCTGTTAGTGAGGTTTAGATGGATTGTTCCCTCCCAGAGCCAACAGAGAAGATCCATATAGGAAGACATGCTAAGAGATAGATGCACAATGGGATACACTGACCCAATGTTAATCTCTGAATGAAAAGAGGAGTGAAGTCAGGAGATCTCCCGGGCCTTATGTAAGATTCACAGGAAATTGCTAGACTAACCAAAACAAAAAGCATGTTAAATAAAGTCCAAAGGTGGTTGAGAGTTGAAAGGTAGCAATGCCCTGCAGAGAGGGATTAGAGGGTTTTGCAAGAGAGTCTCCATTTAATTCCATTACAGTGTTTTCTGCACGCACGGCATCACAGAACAAACACCCCTCTGTCTCTCTCTCTCCCTCTCTCTGGCTTTCCTGGATGAAAGATGTGATGGCAGCTGTTGTAAAGTTTTGCTTGTCATGAATTTCCAATGACTTGCATGATTTCATTATTTGGGGAGGCAAATGCCCCTCTAATCAGAATGGTTTCCCTGTAAACAGCTGCTGGAAAATAGAGGGGGAGGGGGGGGTAGATTCCTTTCCATAAACTAGTTTTGAAGCAACCTGGTTAGAAACTATTTAGTTTTCCTCATACTTGGTTCTGATTCATCCTAGTTCTTGGGTGAGATGTCTTTACAGCTACCCATGGCTTGACATTCATTCAAGGTAAGCAGTACAGTTTTAAGCACGCAGGTGGAATATTACCGTAACGTTAAAGAATAATTTGCACTTGTCTGTGCAATTTCACCCATGGATCTCAAAGCGCTTGGCAAAACTTATGGACCTGATTGCGCCGTGCCATGGGAAACCCAATGAAATGGGGGATAAAGAGGAGGAAATCTCAGGGCAAATCTTCTGTTCTGTTGAGGGTGGGTGGTGCCTATGTGCATCTTCATGCTGGACTTCCTTAAAGAGAAGCCACCTTGCCAGCTGCGTAGGGGGCTGTGGAAGTATCACCATTGCTCCATAACGCCAGTGGACACAGAGGGGCAAGCCTTCCAATTCTGGCACCTGGCCTACAGACTCCTTTCCTAGACTGACCACTCCCTCCTCTCACACTGATCCCCAGACTCACGCAGAGCCATCTGGGGGAAGAGAGGAAGCTCTGATGCGGGAGCCAGCTACGCCCCCTTTTCATGCATGATGAGGGAGATTCATGCTGAGCAGATCTCAAGGGCTTGATGGGGGCAATTGTTAACTCTCATGACACCCCCCCCATGAGCTCATCACATCCTTTTACACCTAGAAAAACTGAGGCACAG